CCGGGACCGCCACTCCGTGGGAGGCGAGGACGCTGCGAGCCTTCCTTCCGGGATGGGGGGCCTCCAGTCAGCACCTTCATCCCACCTTCCAGCAGAGGTGCTAGTTTCTCACTCTGTCCTTTGTGCCTCTGTTTAGCCCCCAGCCCTTCTGAGACCCAAACCTACATTTCATGGCCTGTTTTTGGATCCTAGCATAGGAGGGGCTGGCTGCTCAAGGTTTTGTCCTCAGGGCCTTGCCTCTTTGTGTTTCTGTCCTGTATCGATTTCATAGAAATGTTTGTTTATTTTGTGTGTGTGCTTGCCTGCATCCTTTTCCTTTTTTCTTCTTTTTTCTTTTTATGTTTCCCCTCTCATTGCTGTATGTTTGGAGTAAAGAGAATCCATCAAAGAGCGAATTTACGGTGCCATCTTAACTGGAAGTCACGTGGGCAGAGAGTTTAAAGGAAAGAAGATATTTGGTTTTAGGTAGTACTGAAAGCTAACCACAGGAACGCTTCCTATGTGAGCTCAGTGACCCATAGCATACGGTTATTTAAACTCCATCTGAGGCTTGCAGGCTCCAAAAGATGAGTGGGATTAGGCAGGTGGGATTTATTAGGATACTGTGGTTCTCTACAAAGGTTTCACCTTCTATTTTTCATTTTGATGGTAATTTAAAAAAAATTCATGTTTCCACACACCTTAAATGCCTGCAATTCTAACTAAGTAATATCTTAAAATGTCAGTGCCTGGAGTTGTGTTTGTGTTGGTGCCAAGGAGCACTACTTTGAATATGGAGAGCGGTTATAAAGAGCAGAGGTGAACATGTAGACAAGGTGATTGACTGAGTCGGAGAGTGCCGTTGCGCGGCGGTTCTGAAGAGGAAGGTGAGAGGTGAATTGCGCTGTCTCCCGCATGTGTTCGTACTGGCCAGTCAACAGAACCTGCCTGTCAGTACCAAGCCCACGTGGTTAGTCCAAAGTGAGTTTCAATGACCGCACCATTGATCACACTGAGTTAATTTTGTCAATTTAAATTTTACTCATTTTGTAGATTTGTTGGTATTTAATTTGTACATTTTTTGTTTTGTGATTGTTTAAGAGTTACAAGCATAAAGGCTTTACTGTTTTGTGTTTGTTAATATTTAACAAGAAAAATGACTTTAGATAATACTGGGAGCTCTCAACAGTTTTTACGTTTGAGAACCATGGGTCAAATGGCAACTTAACTCTTGCTGTTCGTTGCAGCAAGCACCCTGCATTTGATTTTGATGTCTTTAGCTCACTCCTGCTCATGCTTCCTACCTGCTTAGCACAGTGTCCTTTCTCTCTGGGGCCTCTGACACCTCTGTGCCGGGCTGATGCCCCTTCCTCATGCTCCCTGCAGCCCCGTGTTTGCCTCTCTCCCAGCCCTTCCCAGAGGGTGTTAAGGGCTGGTGCCCCTTCCTCATGCTCCC